TTGAACGCAATAATAATATACTGCTATTTGACACTACTGTGAGATCATGATGATACTTCATTTATTATGTTGCGTAAATGTTAATTTATAAAGTACTGTTGAATCCTTGCAGAGGAGTTATTCGAAAATGAAATGATAAGGGATCATGGGACCAATCAACCCTTTGTCGTAGAATCAATGACTTGTATAGTTTACTGGCAAATTTTCCTGTAAACTCGACAATAGTAGGTAAGTATATATGACGGTCGTTGCATTTTTACCATATTTAGTTCTTGAGTAAGTTACTAACTAAACTGCTACATTTGACTATGAATTTAAGGCTGCTTGGATGGAGAAGATTCCATAGGTACACCTCCAATCAGGGAATACCTTGGAAATGTCGGGCCTCTTGATTATGAGCCTTTTGTTTTTGTGGTGTGTAGCCAAGTCTTGAACCCTTCTTTCTTTTTCTGTCATATCATTTTGCATTTTGATGTTGCAGATTCAAGAGAACCATGCATGATTTGAAAATTAAGGCAGTTAGTAGTTAGTAGTTAGTAGTAGTAATGTTAGCTATGATATCTGATTAGTTAGTTACGAAGCCAATGTATTCTCCATATGATGCCCTTGTACTAGTTACGAAGCCAATGTATTCTCCATATGATGCCCTTGTACTCTACGCACATAATCATTCAATGATACAAATATCCTTCTCTCAATTGGCTTTTTGCTGTCATATATCCTAAGAATCCCAGTACAGTAGAATTGCCTGTGAATCTAATACTTCAATCACGTACTGAAACATATATTGAGGTTTGGCTCATTTCTTTAGAGCTAGTAGCAGATGTATGTGTTCATTAAACCAATTGCTAATGCAACCTCCTTATATTTCATACATAAGCAAAGGATTCTGAAGGAAAGGCTCACATTGAGTTGGAGTTTAATAGAAATTAATGATAACATACATGTGCAGCAGTGAGATTCAGATTGAGGGAGCATGTTAAAGGCAGTTAGTAGTCAGTGGTTATGTTAGTTATTATGAACCAATATATACACCTCTACTCTTTGCACAGAGTCATTCAATTATATGAATATCTTTCTCTGAATTGTTAATTGCTCTCATATATATATATATATATATATATATATATATATATATAGATATAGATCCTAATATAAGAGTAATGTGGATATATAGGTAGGCCAAATTCTCAACCAGGAGATCGAATTCCACATTGAAGATTGGGCACAAGGTATAATTATTGTTTATCTAGCTGTCCTTTCTCTTCTATATCCATGATTTTCTAGCTTCTCGGAACATCTTCAACATACTGCAATGGGCGTCACAATCCATATAAGATTGGCAGTTTGTTGATGTAATTATTCTAACGCCGACCCAGCTTTCAAAGTTCATATAAGATTTGAACTTTGAAGCTAATAATTAGGACTTTGTTACAATTGGCAAGAAAAAGTATTGAACTCAAGTGTTGTTAGCGATCTTTATTAGTAAACATATGCATTTTTTCATTAGTGATCTTTATTAGTAAACATATGCTTTTTAACATTAAGTTTCTCCCTCATGTTAGCCAAACAATCAAATAGTGCATCTGGCTTGTGAAGATTGATCTAATTTTCCTTCCTTTACTTTTTTCCCCCTTTATTTGCTTGAAGTTTCTGAATACGAGCTGGATGCTGACTTGTTGCTGTTGAGACTTATCGATGCGGTGGAGGACAGATTGTTTCATGAATAAACCATTTTGCAGACAATTTTCTGATTGGTTGGGTGGAGTGTAAACATTAATTCATTCAATTGAACCAGTTGATCATCATCCTCTGTGGAAACAAAATATTTGTTCATATTTGGTCGGTAAATGCATCTAATTCCCTTGAAGTCCTTTCTTGTTTTGCTTAGCTTGCTCATGTAATAAATGTTAATAATGAAAGCAATAAATGTTTCCTGTTCTATATATTTTGCAATGCTATTGTTATTGTCTGAATTTTCTTTTTGTATTTTTTTGCCAGAGTTATTGTCTGTAAATTAAATGAATGAATTTAAGTAATATGTATTTTGAGAATTATGATTAAAGTAAATCAACGGTTTCACAACTTTGAGGGGGCAATTTATTAATTTAGACATGAAATTGAAAAAATTTACCCAAAAAAAGAAAAAAAATTATAATTTAAATATCTCGTGGGCATTTCAATAAATATAATATTATATAGGTCAGATGGCAAAATAGAAACCTTAATTTTATCTTTACTTAAAAATAATGTTAATAAATATAAATGATATTTAATCTGTTCTTTTCTTGTTTTCTTAACAAAATTAGTTAATTAATTTGCATCTCGTAATCATTGGAGGCCAACAATTTTCTTGAAATGACTACTTGATCTCAATCAACACAAAACAAACAAATTGTGAAATTAGAAGCAAAAAAATTTCCAAGTTCTCACCACATATTTTAAAATATAGATAAATTATCAACATGCATACATCTTGAGGGTTTTGACTTAATATAATCATTACAACTCATCAAAATTTAACTTTTTTTTGTTATTAAAACCTAAATTATTTGTTTGGTGAATAAAACCTAATGCACTTTTGTAAATAATTACTACTCTATATTAGCAAATCTACCCAAACGTGCATCGGTAGCCATTGTTTGCTCCTCCCATGTTATTCGGTATGTGAACACCCCCATTTTGTCGAGGATTGTAAGAAATAATATGTAAAACAAAAAAAAATAATAATAAAAGAAAAAAATCTCCATTGACTTTTTTTAGGACAATTTTAAAAATTCTCATCTACAATAAATTAAAAAGGCAAATTAAATGAGAATCTCATCCTTGCACTAAATAGCAATAAGAGAAAATCTCATTCATAAGAGACTAAATGCTGATTGATTTTCAAATCAGAAAATATGGTGTGAAATCATTAAGGAGGAAAATAAAAAAATTCAAAAATAAAAAAAAAAAATCTCATCTAAGATGATTGGCTCCCAAATTAAAAATATCTTTTTAGAGTCATTATTATGAGAAAAATAAAATAAATTAAAATAAAAAAAAAATCACAAATTGATGATGATCGATTTGGTGCTAAAATAATTGAACATGCCTTTTGATTTTTTACTGGGGGAAACTAAAAAATTAAAAATTAAAAAAATGCAATACCCTAACTGATGCATATTTATATAAGCAAAATAGGGAATTCTGAGAAAAAAAGGGGAAGATAGAGAATTCTTCTATATTTTTTTTAAGGAGGGATTTAGGAAAAGGGTAGAGAAGACTTTTCCTTTTTTGAGCTGAAGGGTAGAGAAGACTTAAATATACTAAAATTGCTCATATTCTTCTTTCTTTCTTTCTTTCTTCTTCTTCTTCTTTTTTTTTTTTTTTTGGTACCGAAGGAAGGCCCTCTGCTCATATGGTTATAAAATTTTTCATGATTATCTGAATCAAAAGAAAAGTGTTAATGATTATTTCTTTGACAAATTTGATAAATGAGTTCTTTTTAAAGTCAAAACCGACTTTCCTTCTTCATTCAAGTTTTTTTATTTTAAATAAACCAGAACACAAAAATGAATTTTCTTTCTGTTTAAAAATTATTGAAAAAATATGATTTAACTTGAAGAATATTAAAAAATTAATATCTCAAGTGTTGAACATAGGTCTTACTTAAACATCTTAAAAATGATTAAAAATAGTTTAACATTTTAGATTTTCTCATATTAAAATTATTTCTCAACAATCGTAACTCTAACAATTTGTTCTTTGGTGTCTGTCATGTTGAATGACAGAGAAAAACTCTGGTGTTTATTGTGTTAATCAAAAAGTCTGCATAAAATTTAAGAGCAACACTATTTAGCAAATATTATTTTAGTTCCAGGCGAATATATAGAGAGAGATAATGGAGACACAATGCATCCAATATCTGAATTCTCCAAATATTAATTGTAAACAGAATTTCACATTAAAACCAGTCGAAACTAATAAATATGTGCACTACTTGTTTGAATGTCCATGAAAAAACATATTTGTGATTTGATCCTATTTTGCACACATATGTTATGGGGCGTGATTTGACTGGAAAATGTTAGCAACTCATAGTTTTTATGGTTCAATCGGTTAATAATTAAATAAAACATGTTATATATGTATATAAATACATATGTGTATAAGAAATAAGTGCGAAATAAATTTTAAAAATAAACATACATACACAAAATAAACAAAGTAGATTAAAAAAAATATTGCATAAAAGAAATTAAAATACAATTTAAAACACAAAAAAGATAATTATTATAAACAAATATTTCTGATATAATAACGAAACCTCAAAAAGAAATTAGAGATTAAAGAACAAATTAACAAAGCCAAGCATTTTGCACCCTATTAACTATTTTTTTTTCAGAAATTTCAAAATATGGGGAATGGAAATTGTGAAGTATTTATATACTACTTCCGATTCTTAATATGAAAACCAGTTGACTAATTTGAATATATTAAACAAGTTTGCTAAGTTTGTTATTTGTAACAAACATGAGTTATTTACTAATTATGTGTATTAGTTAGAATTACCGTTTGACAGAACTTTTAACATATACAATTATGATAATAATTACTTTTAAAAAATAGATAAATATGAGAGATAAGATAGATTAAGATTATATATTTAGAAGCAAATTAAAATTAAAATTAAAATTATTTTTTATATTAAGAATTGAAGTTAATAATATTTATCTAAAGATAGAATGGGTAAAGGACATGAGTTTAAGGGGACATGAGTTTCATTTTTGTTTTTCCGGTGTATTAAAAAAAGAAAAAGAAAAAAAAAATAGGCATAGGACATATAATGGGGGGTGGGCCGGTGGGGGGAAGGGTAGGAGGATAGATTTCCTCCCATTTGTTTTATTTTTCGTTTAATGCAAAACCAAAAGAAAGAAAGATTGATGTAGATAGCCCAAAAAAAAGCCCATTTAGTCACTAGACGCCTCCGATATCTCATCTGGTTCACAAGGGTTTTCTTCCTTCTTTCAGGTTTCAACCTAAGGCTGCCGACTTTGTTCTTCCTCCTCTACCCGTGCTCTGTTTTTGTACTTCTGTTGTGTGAATTATTGGTCGCCAAGCGTCATCGTCGATCTTCCACCATTGTCAAAGCTAAAGAGGTAGAATCGTAGATCTGTAGTATTCTTTCTAACTATCCTTCCCTCTTCCCTATTTCCTTCCTCTTCACGGGCTGTACCATTCCATTTTGCTTCTTCTTCCTCTTTTTCAAAACAAGCATGAGTTCCGGCTCGCGGCTCAAATGCCAGTTCTAACTGTTCAACATATTCCAACCCCTCAAGCGGTCTGATCACTGGAGACCATTTGTTTTGTATTAATTTTTCCCTTGAACATTTGCTCAGGTTGAATGGGAGTGCTTGATCAAGAACTGACTACAATGATTGATGATGAAGTTGAAGCTCTGAATGAAGAACTGTCAGCATCTGAATCAGAGTCAGAATCGGGAGAAGAAGATGCAAAATTGACTGAACCATCTAAAAATGCAATATTTAACAGAGATGGTCTCCTGGATAAACTTGGAGACATAAGCTGGCCAGAGAACGTGGAATGGGTCCACAAACTCTCCATTGATATTGATCAAGAGCAAGAAGTAGATGTGAATGATGACTTGGCACGGGAGCTTTCTTTTTACACACAGGCATTGGAGGGAACTAGGCAGGCTTTTGAGAAGTTCCAATCAATGGGTGTTCCTTTCCTAAGACCTCCCGACTATTATGCAGAAATGTTGAAGACAGATACTCATATGGAGAAGGTGAAGGGCCGGCTGTTAGCAGAGAAGAGGAAGATGGAAGAGGCCGAAGAAAGAAGGAAGGCCAGGGAGGCCAAAAGATTGTCTAAAGAAATTCAGGCCCAGAAACTGAAGGAAAGAGCTAAGCAGAAAAAGGAAGACATAGAATCTGTTAAGAAGTGGAGGAAGCAAAGGCAACAGAGTGGTTTTGCTGGGAGTGGCAATGATGTTGATCTGGATTTGAACTTTGAGGATGGGAAAGTATTTGAGAGGTCAAACAAGAAAAGGCCTGGCGCCTCTCCAGGCGACCGGTCTGGAGGTAAGGCAAGGCAATCTTTTGGACAAGGGAAGAAACAGAAAAAACGGGAGTTCAGGAATTCTAAATTTGGTTTTGGAGGTAGGAAGGGACTGAAAAGGCAGAATACAGCTGAGACAACAAATGATTTTAAAGGATTCAAGAAGAACTCTGCCCCTGGAAATAAGAGGAGAAAGAAGTAACATCATCTTGATATGTAATCTCCAGAGGAAATATTACCAGGTCGTCTATTGGCTATTTTGTTTAATATATTCTGTAATTTCATTTTAGAGGATGGCTTAAATCTCACATGCTATGCTATATCGTGGGTTTTAAAGTAGTTTTTGCAAAATTTGTTTCATTCTGATGCTTTGTTCAATGGTCACTTTATGTTACCTTTTTGTGTTTGTTTGCTTCTCTTGCTTTAACAATCAATTGCGTGAATTTTCCTGCTGTGAATCGTTTGTGGTGTTGATTGCTGTTCATTCTTTGTCCTTGTTTATTCACTTCTCTTGTGGGCTTGTCTTGTAGTTCAAATCTAAGATGTTGAGTAAATTTGATAAACCCAATGCTATGCGTGCTTGCCATTTTCATCGTGGCTTTATTTTTGCCTGATTCTACACTTTGAATGGTGCTTGTCATGACAGTTACAGTCGAAATTCGATCATTTTGAATTATGATAATACTAGTTTGATCAGCTGAAAGAAATTTGTTAACTTTTTGATAAGGTTTTTTTAAAAAAAAAAAAAAAGTAGAGTGAGCTACTCCATCTTAGGTCCTAAACGTTATAGCCATACAAGTCATGATTAAAAGTTGCCAAGTGAATTTAATGTTTTGTACAATAAAAGCAGAATTATATGGGTGTGTGTTTTTCTGTAATTTAAAGTTAGACTTTTATTTTTGAAGAGAATTTATCTTTTTATTCATTAAGAGGATCTAAAGTTGTAACTTTTTGTGATTGTTGGTAGCATCATGTCTTCCAATTTGTGTTTGTCTATTGTAGTGTTGATGTAACTTTTGAATGTTATTGATGGATGTTTTAGATGTTTTTGGATGTTGATGTATGTTTAGATATGATGATGTTGTTTTTGCGATTTAATTTTATTTATATTTATGCTTTTTGTTAATAATTTTATTGTTTTATTTTCATTATTTTGATAAAATATGTTAGACGTATCAAAAATTGTATTGGGCTCTTAAACGTGTTGAAGGTTTGCGGACTGGTCCTGGACCCGTGAGTTCAAGGGCCGTGTAGGAAAATGAGACATTTGTATTATGTAGGCCGAAATGAATAAATAAATAAATCTTGAATAAGGTAAAAAAAAAAATGCTACTAATCTTATTAGCAAGTAAAATTACAAATGTAATCAAGAAATCACTTATCTGCCCTTCCTGCTGAAGCTTCATTCCCTTCAATTTGCAAGCCTGATCCTTCTTCATAAATGATTTTTCTATAACTTGAACACATTGTGATAGAAAATCTCAACATTAACCACAGCATTAACATATGAATTGCTAGGCTTGTTTTTCACATAATCCATAATTTGTTATGTCATGGATTTTTTATTTTCTTCAAAAATATTAAGAATGGATAGAATGTATTTTGTTTGCTTCTTTTCTTAAGGAACACGATAATACCATGTATGAATTTTACAATTACATATGTGAATATCTTCAAAACAATGAATACCCGTAGCTTTTTACCCCAAAAAATCAAAATAGCAAGTAATTACAACAATTAGAATAGAAACAATTATAGGGTTCAGCTACTTTTTTTCTGACTGTATAATTCGAATCTAAATTCTCATTCAAATAGGCAAGGCTGTAGTACCATTGGGGCAAAATTAACCATAGAATTCAACAGACATCTCTAACCCAAACTAAAAAGGGACCAAAAATCTTCACTCAACAAAAACAACTATAAAAACTTAAGGGCTTATTTGGTTTCTTGTTTAAAAAAAAAATTGTTTTTAAAAACATAAAAATAATAACACTTATTTGGTAATTTGTTGTTAGTTGATTGTTTAAAAAAGTAAAAATAGTAATATGTTTTTAAAAACTAAAAAAATAATAAAAAAAATTACGAGACTGTTTGTTTTTATTCTCTGTTTTCTTGTTCTCAGAACAATTTTATAAAATTGTTTTTTAGAACAAGTTTTGAAGACAAAGAAAAAAGAATTTGTTTGGATAATAATTTTAAAAAATCATGTTAAAAAAATAATAAAAAACTATACTTGGTTAGTGATAGTTGTTACTAATAATAATAAGTAGTAGATAGTAGGTAAGAAGAAAAGAAAATTTTTAAAATTTTTCAAAACAAAAAATAAAAAAAACAAAAACAAAAACAAGAAAACAGGTATAAATTGTTTTGGTTTCTTTTTTGTTTTTTAAAACAATAAACTAAAAACAAATTACCAAACAAAGTTTTTTTATTTTTAAAAACAAAATTATTTTCAAAACAAGAAACCAATCAAGCTCTATATTTTTATAGTTTTGTTTTTGTGTTTTTTATTTTTTGTTTGGAAGAATTTTGAGAAATTTTCTTTTCTTCTTATTTACTATACATCTCTTATTATTATCAGTGACAACTATCATCTACCAAATATAATTTTCTATATTTTTTTAAACATGATTTTTTAAAATCATCATCCAAACAAATTCTTTTGCTTTTTTTTTTTAAAAAAATTGTTGTAAGAAACAATTTTATAAAATTGTTTTGAGAACAAAAAAACAAAGAAGAAAAACAAGCAGGTCTTAAAATTAAAGATGAAAGCAAGATCTATAGATTGGGGAACATTTAAATGAAAGAACATACGTATGTGTTTTTTTCAATTTGTTACAATATAATCTTATTTTGTCCAATATTTAATGAGTATAATTTTTTTAATTAAATATGACTAGATTTTGGGATATATTTAATTAAATTAATAATATTTTATGTCTATTTAATTATATTTTATATTTTTTTTCTTTACTCAGTTATATGATAAGAAGAAATCTCGCTATAAATTCTACTCATATCCTATGTTATTTTACATCCTATATTAGATTTAGGAAAAAGGAAAATTGGAAAACAATACGTGTGTACAAGAGATGTGAAGAGGCTGAAAAGGAAAATAAAATTAAAAAAAAAATATAAAGGGTTATAAACTTGAACATTAAGCAGTGGTGGTAAAGGAATAACAAGGTTTGAAAAACTAAACCAGTCACTAAACCAGTTGAAATAATAAGTTAGATCATGGTCAATTCAGGACTAAACCGGTCATGGTTTCTGAAATATAATTTAAATAAAAGTTTCAAAAATATTCACATTTAATTATAAAAATAATTCAAAATAAGTAATATTTAAAATATATTAAAAAATAAAAATAGGATATGTATATATGGTGTATTATAACATAACAAAGCAACCAATACATTTTAGCTGCCCTCGGCTTCTTCAAACATAGGGAGATGGTTACATGGAAGAATGTCCAGTGCAATAGAAATACTATTTTAATATTTGCACCCAAGATCTGTGAAAGAACTGGAAGTTTTTAATGTGTTTTATTTGGCGTCAGATTCTTAGTTATTCTATGGTGTCTTGCATGTTAGGATGCTTTTATTGTTGTTTATCATATTAAGGAACATGAACTTTTGGTCTCTTATCTTGAAAAGCATTAACTCAAATGGATAATTTAAATGTTAATGCAGAAACGAAGATGATCGATTCCATCAATACCAATGCTCAATGAATCAGCAGGACAACTTGACATTAAATAAGAGTTTGCAAATCTATCTTGGCCACACAATGTATCATGTAATACTGTTAACTTGCTCAGAACGGTTTATTAAAGTTGGTTTGAAGAAGAATTCTGGTTCCCAGCCATTAATCCTTTTTTTTTTTTTTCAATCTCCAAAATTTACTCTGTTGAATTTCTAGAGATAGTTGGGCTATTTTAGTTTAAATTATCCATTTGAGTTAATGAAGTACTACTTCCGGTCCTAATCATAAGATCTAGTTGACTAATTTAAGTAACTTAAGAAAACTAGTTAAATTAGTTATTTGTAATAAATAGATATTGGTTTTCTTAAAATATCCTTGCTAATCAAGTGTATTGGCTAGAGCAATCATTATTGTAATAACTAACTTAGAAAAAAAATAAATAAATATGAGAAATAAAGCATATTAGAGTCTTATATTTAGGACTAAAATAAAAATCAAACAAGATCTTATATTAAGGACCGGAAATAGTATTTTAGTAGAAAAGTCATAATTATTACTTATTGGATGTGAAGTGAAACCTAATTTTTGAAACAGGCAAAAGTGGATAAACTCAGGTATATAAAACTCTTCCTTCACCAGCATACACAAGAAATCACTACGAAAAATAAAGAAAGAAAGTCTTAATGTAGATAAGTCATTTATATTCATAAGGACCATGATGGAAATAAATCCACCCCTACCCACTATCCACTAGGGATTTATTTATTTGGAAGTTCGAGATGAAATCAAACTCTACTTAGAAAAGGGAGAAAAAAAAAAAAGCATGCCATATTGTCACATGATAAATAAGATAGTTCAGCCACAGGGAATTTACACAGAACAAAAACATGTTTTACACAATTAAAAGATCAGCAATTCAGCATCAATGGAATTAAGACCAATCAACACTATGAAATCCAGAGATGGGCGCTGAATGGAGATAAAATCCTCATCCATTGGAGTGGTTTAATCATGATAGCATATACAATTTCCAATAATTGACTCAATTCTTTCGGAGATTTTCCTAATTTTGGTTTAATTTGACCTCCACCATTCAAGCAAGCTGGGTCAATTCACTATAGTTAAATACGTATCCAATTTCCAGGCCTCATGGAAAGCACAAGTAAATGGAATTTCTCGTCAAAAAGAGACCATGACCTGAAGGGCATGCAAGGATCTCCAAGAAATGGTATTCACATTTCCTACTTTAACTTTTCCAACAATATTTTGCAGGTCTCGGAAACCATAACAGAGCAAATTTCAACACTGTTTTCCCCTTCATCTGCATAGACAATAAGACATAATACCGAGTCAGAGAAAAACAACCTGTAGAAACTATTTAACAATTGTGACATCAAGAGCCCTGTGGCTAGGGTACAGGACAGTATCAAGTTACCAATAGTAATATTTTGCGAAGGATAACTAATGGATACTGAATATAATTAAACATTTTTTTCTGGATTATTAATTGGCACTTCAAAAACAGGATTAAAGGGGGAAAGGAATCTGCGGAATTGAAGGCCATGTGGGGTGTGGGCAGAGAGGAGAATAACTAAGCTCACGCACTAGTCCTTCCAAAACTTTAAGCAGCACAAAACTT